CAGGTTTTTTTTCTTCAGGAATCTGTAAAAAGCTGACTAGCAGCTGAAGCAACAGAAAATGGAAGGGGAATCAAAGCAAATAGAAGGGAAAACTCTTAAGAAGAGATGGCAAACCCCACATCCCAAACAGTTTGCCACTACTGCACTCTGGACATAATACTGTCAGCCTAAGTCACAGCACACTAACATTTGATTCACTTTGAAACAAAAGCCGCAAACAGTAAAAGCCCCGCTCTTCCAGGAGCAGGAGGAGTAGAGTTTTCTGCCAGAATTCCTCTTGCCTCAATAAAGGATAATAAGGTCATGCCTAATAAAACAGAAACTGTTGAAATTCAGGAATTTGCCAAGAACATTAGTTTGATGTACGTGTTTCAGAAAGAGGAATTCAACGTCTTTCTATGAGAAAGGTCCCAAATGTTCAGGGAGGAGCTACAAAGCCCAGGTCTTTGATGGCCCTGTGTAGCGTCCTCCATGCAGTGCCGGTGTCCCTGGCTGCACCCTGGAGTGTGCAGTTGTATTTATTTAGTGGGGCCTTTGGAAGGCCCGAGGAGGTGTGCTGAACGCTGTGAAGGGAGCCTGGCAGTGTGTCCATCACCTCATGGTCTCCCATTCCACAGTGACTGCACACAGAAAGAGGAGAGAAGTGCTTGGGGTGTCCAGACGAAAATTGTCACGCTTCTGCCTTGAGATGTATCCTCATTTAGAAAAATAGTACTGCTGGGCCTCCCTGGTGGCGCAAGGGGTTAAGACACTGTCCACAGCCACTACAGCACAAGTTCAATCCCAGGCCAGGGAGGTGGCCCTCATGGCTCAGTAGACCTCTCCTGATTCACAGGCTGCACCCCTCAGCAGTGTATTTCAGTCAGTTCTGTCCTCCACTCTGTCTCTGGTAAATCCTCTCACCCTCTGCACCTCTGGCCTGTACCCGAGTTCTTGATGCATAAATAAATCTTTAAAAAATAAATAAAAAATGAAAATAGATTATGGCTGCTTCTGATGCACAGCCCAGTCATTATTGCCACCAAGCAACAATCACAGGTCAAATGCTGGTGACACACTGTGAGTTTATGCTGCACATCCCCAAAAGATACACTTTCTCCTTTACCTTGAGTCCATAAATTCGAAGCTAGTAAGTCAGGTTTGTTTCTAATTAGTAATGTGTGGGGCTTGTAAATGACTGAGGTATGAAGCTAATGCATGACACCTCTACAGAAGTTACAATGCATACTAGTAACACAAACAGCCATGATGCCCCCTCCAAGATGAAGGTGTATCTAGGTGTTTACCTAACTAAACATAATTATCCTCCATTTTGGCTGCATAATTTCCTTACCTTAAAAAGAAATCTCCTGGTGGCACAAGGGGTTAAGATGCAGCACTATGAAGCTATCCACAGCCACTGCAGCATTAGTTCGATCCCTGGCCAGGGAGGTGACCCACATGGCGCAGCAGATCTCTCCTGACTCACCCGCTGGTCCCCTCAGCAGTGTATTTCAGTCAATCTGCCTGTTCTGTTCCCCGCTCTGTCTCTGGTGAATCCTCACCCCTCATCTCTAGCCTTCACCCCAAATCTTGTATGCATAAATAAATAAATCTTTAAAAAAAGAGAAAAATGTTTACTGCCCATTTGATGTAACTCAAAATATACTTTTGTTGATTTTTGCTTAGTTTTTGCACTTTATGAGAAAGGGGCATTAGACTATCTGTAGTATCATGACTTCCTTTTAAAATTTGCTGTATTAGGGCCTCCCCAGTGGCACAGCAAGATATACTAGCACAGGTATACAGAACAATGTGCTGACCGATGTGCATTCCAGCATTAATTGTAATAACAAGACTATCAATAGAATAATTATTAAATAAAATATTCTTTTGTACTAAAATATAACTATATATGGAAAACAAGCAACTGTTTAAAAGAAGAAATGGGTGCCAGACCTTTTTGAGATGTTGGGACACAGGAGTTAGCAAGACAGACCCTTGTCTAGCCACCTAGGGTTTACACTGTAACAGACTGCTTGTTTGAAACAGACTCGACCTGTTTCTGTAAGAATTCCCAGAATGCTGTAATTGAAGGGAGTCTTAGGATAATTCGATCTTTTGCTGTGAAATTTACAAATATCATGTATTCCTTACTGATTAATTCTTAGGATGCTTAAAAATTTTAGTCTTCCATCTTTTTGGTCATTTTTAATATAGGTGGATCATATAAGTGTAATTTTATAAAGAGAATTATTGCATCATTTGCTTTTTTTTCTTTTTACAGTGGAGGGGAGCATATGGAAAGGATTTGTCACCTTTTACATAAATATGGCATATAATACGAAATTCAATTTATTTGGCTTTGAGTTCCTCCATTGTTCTACCATCTGTAGACAATGTGTTGTGATCAGTTATTTTTACTTTGTGTAAAAATAACTTTAGGGCTTTAGGGCCAAAGAGAATAACTTTTCTTGATGTAATCAATAATCAATTTCCAGGAAGTTCTTTATCACATGACTTATATTACTAAAGTTTCCCTTAGTGTTTCATGCCACAGCAAAAGAAAAACAAAAACATCTCTGGACCTCAGCTTTTATTTTCCAGTGACCAAAAACCACAATAATATAAAGGATGGTGAACTTATACTGGTGTAAAGAAAATCCAAAATCAATTGCAAACAAATATGGCTTATTTTAACCGGACTGTTAAAAATATTGTTTTCTTCTCAGAAGTGAAGTATTGTTTTTGAATAGATATACATATACACATATATACATACACATACATAATAATGTGTATATCTATTCAAACACAATGTATCAAATTTATGTTACATATATTATAATATTTAATACCCTTTGTATGAAATATACATGTTTTGTTCATTATATTAATTATCAACATTAATACAACCCTAATTAACAAAATCTCTAACTTAGCAGGAAGACCAAATCAGTTAAGTTCCAACAAAACAAGTATTGGCAAAAGTGTGGAGAAGGAACTCTCAGATACTTGGTAAAAAGGTAGATTAGTCCAGCCTCTGTAGGAACAATTTGGATGTTTTTCAAAATACTGAAAATAGATCTACCATATGATTCAGCGATATTATTCCTAGGTATTGTCCAAAGAGTATAAAAACATGAAATCAAAAAGATAGTCACTACTATGTTCACTGAAGCACTATTTATAATAGCCAAATTATAGAAACAGCCTAAGTGTCAAAGGACAGATGAGTGGATTAAGAAGATATTTATGCACACATAGGACTACTATGCAGCTATAAAAACAGATGAAATCTTGCCATTTGTGACAACATAGATGGAACTGTAGGAAATGATACTAAGTGAAATAAGTGGAAAAGATAAAGACAGCACCTCCCTGGTGGCGCAGGTGGTTGAGCACAGCGCTATGAAGCTGTCTGCAGCCTCTGCAGTGCTGGTTCCATCACTGCCGGCCGCGGAGCAACCCACATGGCACAGCAGACCTCTCCTGTCTCGCCCACTGCTCCCCTCAGCAGTGTATTTCACTCAGTCTGCCTGTTCTGCTCCCCACTCTGTCTCTGGTGAATCCTCTCACCCCCCACACCTCTGGCCTGTACCCCAGTTCTTGTATGCATAAATAAATAAATCTTTAAAAAAAGAGAGCGAGAGAGAGAGAAAGACAAATGCTGGTTATTTCACTCATATGTGGGCTATAGAGAAATAAAGCAAAGGAACTGGCAACCTGAATAAGCCCTTGAAATCTTACTGCAAAACTGAGGTTACCAGAAAAGCAGGGGGTGGGAGCAAAGGGTAGAGGGGCCCAGTGAACAGTGGTGAGGATTATTGGTGCTTTAGTGGTGGATGTGGTGTGGTTATATACATTTGAACAGTGTAAATCAATACTCCTAAGACATATACCATGTTGAGAAATAGTATTACCTTAATGAAATAAATTTTAAAAAAGAAGGGATACCTTGTCAATACTTAAATTTTACAATTCTGTTGGAAGCCAAGGTCTCCCAGCTACTAAGTGTCAAAGACAAGATTCTAAACCAAATATTTTGATGATTTTAATGCCTTGTGCTTTTCATAATTTATGATCATAATGTTCAATACTGACTTGAAGTATGGGCTTTATTTTTTAAAAGAGAATGCAATAGTTATTACATCTCATTTTTCTAATTAGCTAATAAGGTACTATAACAAATATGATTTACTTAATGCTTACTATGTTTAACAAATGTATATTTCCTGTGATCTAGTAAACATCAGTGTGTGCAAGGCCCTGGGCTCTCAGGAATTCAACAGAAGCCTAGCACAGTTTTTAGGAGTTCATGATCTATCAGAAAAGACTATATATATGTGTGTGTGTGTGTGTATGCATGTGTATCATGTATATATACATATATATCATGTATATATAAGTTATAAGATAAATCTATAAAATATAAACACAGTCAAAGTGCCGCATTAATATTTCTATGAAAAATAATAACGCTAAATGTGTAATTTAAAATTTCAAGCAACAAAAAAAATCAACATCAAGTATTTCTTAGACACCTTTCAAGAATTTTTTTCTAAATTCTAGAACTTGTTTATCTCATTTAGACTTTGTTCCAATAAACTCCTATGCATGATGTACTTAAGCTGTTTCCCTGTCGTATGTTTTTCTTTTGTTTTTGCATCTGCAATATTTATATGATTTTTGTGGACATTTGGGCTGTACATTCACTAAGAAACAACATTCTAATACCATTTTATATTTTCAAGAATCACCGTGATCAAATATATGATATCTCTCCAATAACTGAATACCAGCATCAACTATGAAATTATAACGACTATCATGCCATGTTAAATAAGCCAGAAACAGTGACTACATTGTTACTACATTCAGTTTTCCTTGACTTTCTAAATTATCACCTGAAAAAGTTTTTCTAATGGGTTTAATGGCATAATTTTCTTTATCCCTCAACTAAATATATATATATTTTTTTTCTCCTTTTTTCCTCTCTTGCTCTCAAAAAAATTCAACAGCTTGATCAAGTCATCCGCCAAAGAAGCCTGTCCAGTTTGGAACTGTTCCTCTCCTGTGCTCAGAAACAGTTAAGTGCTTTAATAGCTACGGAGCCGGCTGACATTGAATAAAGAGAACATGACAAGCTAACCCACACTGGCAATGGATAAATCATTAGACCTAAAATACATGCTGTGAACTATAAAGATGCTTTTGTTTTCTTTCCAAATCTTGGAGAATTGATTTTTACTTCAAGGATAAACCAAAACAATATTTAGATGAACTATCAAGAAATTAATTTATTTTCTTTTGTTTTTTTCCTTTACATTGACTATTATGTTAGTAGTGGTAGTAATAGCAACAGAAAGTATGCTGTGACCCAAAAGCCACTGAAAATTGCCACACTGTACAAGTTCAACAAGCTTTAGAGCCTCTGATAGCCTGATATACTGTATTTGGCAAAAGCAGTGTGACTATCTATACTCTTTGCTTCACCAAGACTCTCATGCCTGAATGTAATCATACCTGGATTTGATTTGAGGATAGAAAGGGCATGGATTTCAACATCACCTGCTTATCTGCCTAACTTGGGTACAGAAAGAACACTGACATGGTAGAGACTCATAATGGTATTACCAAACCTCTATTGTTGGATCTATTATTTTCACTGGTTACAAAGATACTGAACTTATTATGTTAATTCAACTTTGATCTAATGTACACTTAAAGGGGAATGTAAGTGATATATGCTTGTTTCCTATTTCTGTGTTCAGAGCCACTATGAATCAATAAAATCATTTTTCTTATGAATCATAATGTCAGCTTAATCTAGAAAGAGACTATAACTTTGTCATTTATAGGAAGCAATTCAGGTTCAAATACAGGAGAGATGAAGTCTTTTTCTTGTACTACTGAATGTATCTTGTCATGAGCAGTGTGCACCAATAATACAAATCATGTATTTTTTTTAACATAGAAACTAAAATGTTGTCATTAAAATGTATGCAAACATGCAAATGTTTTGTTTGGTTTTCTGAAATGCTTCTACTTTCATGGACTTTGTACTTTTCTGGGATTTCTCAGTTTATTAAAAGGACTCCAAAAACATATTTGATTATTTTTCTTTTTTAAATTTGCTTCAGATTTTCTAAAAAAATTATGTTCAAATCTTTATATTCAAGTGTGATATTTTTAATACATACTTTCACACCTAAATATTTATATTTAGGTTATATTTACCAAGAATCTTTAACTGTCAGTAACTACTTAGTTTTTCTCTTATACATTTAAATAAGAATAAAAACAAACAGGCCACTGACTTGAAAATGCAGCATGGTAAAGAGAGAAGAGCTTTTAATTCAGGAACAAGTCAATATCACAATATTTTATATATATATGTGTAGAAATATATAAAATCACTTGACTGTCGTTAAATTGAAAGTGATGGGCTATTTTACAAGCTCCTCAGATATTTAGATGAAAATGAAGCACAGAAGTTCATTGATTCTAAGGTCCAGAGAGAGAGTGAGATCTAAGACAGTGGACATGTCTAGAGAATACAACAGTCTATTTCCCTTTGTACCACGGAATGACTTTTCCTTCGCTGTTGAGGTAGACTGCCTACTGCAGTAAATTGAGATGATTCGGTAGTGATCCCCCTTGGGGAATTTCAGAACATCTGCCATGTGCAATATGAAAGCACTATGACTCAGAGCTGTCATTCAAGAGAACTGAGATTAATCTAAGCTCAGAACTGATTATTTGAACTCATTAATCCTTCCAGACAGAATTAGCTATTAATGTGCTTCAGTGATGTTCAAGTAAAAGATTTCCAAATCAAAATTCTATTCTGTTTTTGCTCCGGTTCTCCCAAGCTCACAGACTCTCTTGGGTAGTATTCACTAAGAGGTATGACCAAATATTGTGCTACAGCAGAAGAAAGTTTTCCCCTGAAATGTAAGCCCAGAATCTCAAAGAGAAGGAGTCAAATACCCTGTTATCTAAAACTTCATCCACTGTAAGATTTCCTTAATTCTTTTTACTTAGTTTTCCCTGGCCATTATGTTTAGGTGAGTAAGGCACCATTTTGATAGGCTGGAAGTGAAAAAGGAGTTAGCTTTTTTGAATGAGAAAGCCGCTATCAAACTGTGACTCCATTTTGAACACCCTGATTAAAAGTCCATTTGTACAAAATTCTTTTCCTTCCAAAAATGAGTATCTGCTGCCAGGTGTTTGCACAGGTGATCCCAACAGCCCCGTGAAGGAGATGCTCCATCTCTGTTTACCAGTGGAGAATGGGTGTTTACCTGCTCGTGATGACAGGGTGGAGCTGAGATTCTATGCCAGTGCTTTCAACACATGGTTTTACTCTTTCCAGTACCTGTCCACGCCTGTCATTCTTGCCATGAGAAACTACCTGGAAGTTTCTATTCCATGTAGGCTTATCACATTATTTGAATCTTTTAAGAAGGAAACTAGCCCTCCTTATAATCTACTTGGATTTATAGCTCTGCTACATTCTAACCAGCAGAAGGTCCCTAAATCAATTGCGTGTTAGTTTGCTGGTCTGTGAGGTGCAACAGTGATTGTGTAGGCTTATATTTGAAAGCTAAATTAGGCTGTGAAAAGCCCCATATAGCAGACCTTGTTGGTGTGACCACTGATGCACGGTAAGGCCCCCTTCCCTGGGAACTGCCCACAAAATACGGGTGAAGTTGCCCACAAACAGTGGGGTGAGCAATATTATTCTCCCTTTGGACATTGATTGACTGATCCACAGGGGAAGACCTGACCCCGATGGGCCACCTGTGGACAGTCATGTGACGAGAAGCATCAGTCACTTTCCCTTGGGAGGACAGACTTCAACTCCTCAGGTCACAAGTCCCCTGGCCCCTGCCTTCCCTGATTTTTGGGTTCTATGAGTTACCCAAGTATTCCTCCAATATGCCAGTGCCACTTACTTTTTTCCCTTTAGCTAACCAGAGGAAGTTTCTATTACACGCAATCAAATAAAAAAAAAAAAATTTCCAGAGACAGCCCAGCACGGAGCTCAGCGCGTCACCCAGGTACTCAGCACTTGTCAGCCCTTCATTTCCTGCGCTGTACTCGCTCCCATCCCAAGTGGGAACACTAATTTATTTTAGAGAATGTTAAAAATATAACTGAACCAAAGCTCCTGTTGTCTAGCAAAGCCAAGTAAATCACAAATACCTAAAACTATGAACAGAGCCCTCTTTAGAGTCTCCCTGTCACTCAGCGTTTGGAGCAGAGGTTTCAGCTCCTCTTTGCCAAGTGCTGATTCATGTTCCAACCCCAGGAGCCTTGCTCAGTTGATTGCTTTGAAATCAAAACCAGAACAATGTCGCTGTGATGGCCACTGTTCTGTACTGAGTCAGGTATCTATAAATACAGATTTTTGGTTTGGGTGGTTTTGTTTTTTTTTTTTAAATCTGACAGTTACACTGAATGGAATCAGGAAATGCTATGTAGGCTTTAAAAAAAAAAACAATAAAAACAAAAGAACTATTAATTCACTGAAAACTAGAGTCTTTGCATAATGGATCCTGAAAAGGAAAATAAAGAGCCATAGGTAAAAACCCGGAAAATACTCCGGAAACTCCAAGAGGAAAAGGAAAGTTGGATCAAAGCACTCAGGCTCCAGTCTTCATTTACACACCAGGAGCCAGCTCTGCTGTGTCTCTTAAGCCCTACTCACCAGAAGAAGAAGAAAAAACATGTTCTGAAGCCCAGGCCACTTTCTGGAGGGCACCGCCACCAGCTCACATCAGTGGGCAGATAACAGAAGAGCATTTACTTCTGCAACTGTCAGAAACTGATTTTAAGCCAGGCAAAACCAAAACTGTTCCCTTGATTTAATTAAAAACACACTTTCAGACACCCAATCTGCACTAATGCAGGGGCTACTTGGGCTTGACCATCAGCATACATAAATAAAGGAATAAAGGCCTGGTTAAAAAAACTTTGCTTGCATTTGGTTTCCTGTTTTCTTTTACCCAGAGGCTTCCATTTTCAGCAGATTGGCCCATTTAATTCACCCTCCTACTAGCTGCCCCTGGCATTACATGGTGGACTTCTGCTTTGTAGAACTGACAGGGTTCAATGACATGTGGCGGTGACAGTCATCATTTCCTATATGTGTTCTCATTTACTGAAGGGAGAGCTGGCAGCTGCTTTCTTTACTGCATCCTGGAGGTGGTGACACCACCTAGTCCCTGTATAGAATTATGAGTTCATCAATAACTGAATCCACCAATCATTGCCCCTGCAGTGCAATAAGCCAACTGGTGCTGGTAGAATCCCACCATAATGTAAAGGATTAGCTAAGAGCTAAGACAATAGCCAGCCTCGTGTGAAAAAAAACAGAACTGAGTTCTACAACGAACTCTGCATTTCTGAATGTTAGTAGAATGACTGAATCACACTGATAGGACTGTGCTACCCAAATTTAGAAGATCCTCTAAGAGCGGAAATAAGAACATATGGGAAATGATGTGTGAAATATACACTTGAATGTGAAATATACACTTGGCCACCGAAAGCGAGACAGCCTCCTGTCGTGTGGACTGCAAGGGAGGCGCTGTGCTCCATCAGGCTTCAGGACGAAAGTCTGGGGAAGAGATCGCACGCACAGGGCCAGAGGCTGAGCACAGAAGACCAGAGGGTGGGGGAGCGTTGGGGGGAAGAGTGTCCGGTGAAGGATGAACGTGACGAGACCCCTAAGTGACAAGGATGCCACGGGACCCCTGGGAGTATGATTCCACCTCTGACTCCAACTTGTGATGCAAACAATTTGTAGTTTTGGGGAAGAGAGAAATCAAGAAACAAACTGATTCAAAAGGGGGGAAAACTTGACTCAGCCCTGGCAAACATTCAGTTCTCAGAAGTCTGGGAGCTGATTTAAAAAGGGGAGGAAAAACAGAAGCCACAGAATGTACAAATCACAGACTTCAACACAGCTCGCAGAAACAAATCATAGAAAAGTCCTTGTGGCAAGGTACCTGTGCAGTGGATTTCAAGTTTCTGCCGGGTTTGGAGGTATTCTTTGCAGAACCGTTTGTAACGCTGACACTGTACACAACACTACCTTTCATGAAAGTGTTCTATGGTCTCCACCCACAAAGTGGTGGAAAAGAG